CGTGGTGTTTGGCAACCATCCACAGACACCGCTGGCAGTGTTTGGGTGGGAGGGGTGGGGGAGTAAGTGGCGACTACCCACAGGCGCTGCTGGCAGTGGCTAATCTCAAGGGGTGCACATGCACCCATGTGCACCCCCTATGCGTCGCCAATGCTTCAGATACTCCCAGATCTATGGCAGGCATCCTACATGCAGGTTCCCAGCCTGGAGGCCTTAGTGTTCAATTGTCTCCTAGTCTTGCTTACCCCTAGCCAAAAGGCTGCAGGAGCAAGATTGAGGGAAAGCTTAAGAACAAATCTCCCATCACCATAAACTGTGTAGCCAAGATCCTTACAGTTGGAAGCATTTGTAGACTCTCACAGGGGTCAGCCTGCCTGCAGTGCAAGGGACAGGCCTTCACCCTCTAACTATACCAAGTTATTCAAAGCTGAGAGAAGGTATCTCCCTTACCAGGTAAGTAAAACCACTTGAGCTGAAAACCACCTCTTGGGATCAGCACTGGAGGAAAATCCTAGCTTACCTGTTGCTGTCAACAGCAGCAGCCCAGCCAGAGCTGGCAGAAGGAAGCAATCACGAATCATTTCCTGTAAGACAAAACACACCATAATTACATTTCAGTGCTCTGTAATCATCTGGGAACTGCAGAGAAAAGGCCCCTTGGAACAATTTATGAAAAAGCTGCAACTGAAACAGGTCACAGTTGCATTGATATCTGAAAGTGCATCCTATATTCCACATGTCCCTCCCCAAGCCCCATGCTGGGACCCTGTATCCAGACCATGACTATCCATAGACACAAAAAATATGTAGGCAGATAGATCTTAGACCCAAAGCAAATTCAAGGGGAAACTTTAGTATCCAGTAGATTAGGAATTATATCAGTTAGAGGAATAATCATGGGCACATGCACATCACATTTATGCTCCTGGCCTATTATGGAAATTCTATCAAACCTACCCAGACAGACTGCAGTGGAGGCTGCCAGGAAGTAGACTCCCTGCAGGGAGGAAGGGGTAGTTGGTATTGTTGGGAGCTGTAACAGGCAACTCTGCCTGGCTGATTGGCTAGCTGAGCTGTGCCAGGCTGACAATGCCACCTCCCAATTGACTCTTATTCCCCAAGGGATGGGTAACTGGTCATTCCCAAAATGATTTAAATTAACAGTTTTAAGTGTGATTTAAAAGGGCAAACAGATTTACCTCTTCAATTTTATTTATACTTTTCAGTTATTATAGCTAAAAATGGTTGAGTTTCATTAGCTGGCAATTGTGCAAAGATGTTCTTCACGGTAAGGGTGGCCAAAATTTGGAATGGGTTTC